CTTCCTCCTGCTCCTCCTCCTCCTCCTCCTCCTCCTCCTCCTCCTCCTCCTCCTCCTCCTCCTCCTCCTCCTCCTCCTCCTCCTCCTGCTTTGCCCCACAAGAAGGGCCAGGTGCAGAGCAGGGCGCCATTCCCCACGAAGAGGGTGAGGCGTCCGAGCGAGAGCAGTCGAGGCGTGAGTGCACGCCGATTCACCAAGAGGAGGACGAGGCTCCCTTGCAAGCTGCTCGTGTAAGCACCGTGGAGTCTGGTGACTCCGATTGACCTCTGGCGCCTTCGTGTCCGTGCGGCCCGTCCCGCTCAGTCACCGCCAGAGGTTCTTTCACTGGCACCAACGTTGTGTCAGTCATGGCCGTGTCAAAAAAAAAAAAACCTCCTCCTCTTACTCCTCCTCTTCCTCCTCCTCCTTCTCCTCCTCCTCCTCCTCCTGCTCCTCCTCCTCATCCTCGTCGTCAAGGTCATCGGCCCCCGAAGGACGCGGCCAATGCGCGCGGCCACGGGCGGATCCGAACGGGACAACCCCGTCGGCTTCCCCCTCGTCGAGAGAGGCGAAAGCCTCCAGCTCCAGCTCGGAGGCCTTTGTGTCGACCACGAACACCACTGACGCAGTCGCGCTCAGCGGGCGCGCCGCCGTGCCGAGCAAGGGCAAGTTGACCACCTGGAAGGGGCCGACCAGCCCGCTGAATCTTGCCGCCTCCGCCAAACTGACAAGTTCGGCCGAGCGAAAGGATCCAGGCAGTGCCAGCAGGATGCCCCCTGACCGCGTGGCCAAAGGGATCGTAGCGTAGCTCCCTTCGCCCTCGCCCAGCCGCTAGCGGTCGTAGCGCGACGTTGTCGGGGACGAGAACACATGACGATATATGAAGATCGGGCCAGAGCGGCCCGTCGGGGATGGCAGTCCCCCCGACGCCGAAGCGTCGTTTGCCATGGCCAATGGCAGGCTCGGGGCGCACGAGCCACCAGCCGCGCTCAGCCGTGACGAGGCGCAGTGGCGGAGCCTCGTGCCAAGGCCAGCGCACGCTCGTGCCAAGCCTTGCGCCTGGGCCGTAGGCCAGGGCACGCTGCGGGCCACGACCGAGCGCCCCAAGGGCTGCGATCGCCGCCCATGTGCGAGGGAGCCCTGGCGACCCTCACCAGCGGGCCACCATAGCCCCGACGCAACAGCCTCCGCAAAGGCTGCAGCCGGCGGTGGTCACCACTAGGGCAACCACCGACGAGAGCAGCAGAAGGGTCACCCCGCTGCTCAAGCCCACCGCCAGCCCCAGGCAGACGGTTGGGCAGGCCAGCACCTGCAGCGGCAGGAGGGCAGTACCCTCCGCCGCTCAGGTCGGCCTGGGCGGACCACGCAGACCCCGCAGAGGAACAGGCGTAGTCCGCGAGAGGTGCCAAGGGTTGGCCTACGAGCCGCTCGTAGAGCGCGGCCCGCAAGCCTTGGAAGAGCACCGCCCCCGCACCCTCGATGGAGGCCTGGACAAGCGCCTGCATGAAGTGCCCGCCCAGGGATGCTACGCGAGGAGCCAGGGCCGAAGCAGCTGCAGACGACCACGACGCGCACGGGCGGAGAGGATAGTGGAGAGCATCGGCATCAGCATCAGCATCAGCATCAGCATCATCCTCATCCTCATCATCATCATCAGCATCATCATCATCATCATCATCATCATCATCATCACCATCATCATCATCATCAACAGCATCATCATCATCATCATCATCATCAGCAGCATCATCATCATCGTCATCATCAGCCTCAGCCTCATCCTCATCCTCATCATCAGCATCATCATCATCAGCAGCATCATCATCAGAAGCAGCAGCATCAGCATCAGCATCAACATCATCATCAGCATCATCATAAGTACCATTGCCAGCATCATCAACAACATCAGCAGCATCAGCATCAGCATCAGCATCAGCATCCTCAGCTGTAACAGCATCATCATCAGCAGCATCATCATCATGATCATCATGGTCATCATCATCAGCATCATCATCAGCGCCAGCATCATCATCATCATCATCATCATCATCAGCAGCATCATCATCATCATTGCCCCTCCCCGTTCTCCGCCCCCACATTTGCTTAACCTCCACCCGTCATCCTCTTCGTCGTCCACTTCCTCCTCCTCCTCCAATCCCCCTCCTGCTCCTCCTCCTCCTCCTGTGCCCCCTCCCTCATCAACTTATTCCTCGTCCTCGATATCTATCCCTGCTCCCCGGTACCTGCCGCGGGCACACGGCATGCATCGAAGCGGTGCCTCGGCAGGCGAGAAGCGGGGGAGATAAGTGAATGAACGATACCGTAGCAGAAGAATGGAGAGTGGTGACGAAGCAGGTGAAGGGAACGAGCGAGAATACTGGGAGAAACTGACGAAGAAGGTGACGATGACGGGGATGATGATGACGATGGCGACGACAAAAGGTGATGACCAAGGTGGCACAAGAGCTGTCGGAATATGGGTGGCGTTCCCACTCCCTTTTTCTCTCTCTCTCTCTCTCTCTCTTTCTCTCTCTCTCTCTCTCTCTGTATCCTCTCGCTTTTTTCTCCCTCTCTCTCTCTCTCGCGTATTATACATATGTATCGCCATGTATCCACCCTCTCTCTATCTCTCGCTCGCTCTCTCTCTCTCTCTCTCTTTCTCTTTCTCTCTCTCTCTCTCTCTCTCCTTCTCTCTCTCTCTCTCTCTCTCTCTCTCTCTCTCTCTCTCTATATATATATAGAGAGATCGCTCTCTCTGTTTCCCTCTCTATCTCTTTCTTCCTATTTACATATACATATGCGACCACCCCTCAGGTGATAAAAAGGTTCGGGGGGGAATAACCAACGTTTCACCCAATCGATCTGAGCATCGATCCCACCATCGATGTCACGATCGATAAAACAATCAATATCACTATCGATTCCACTGTGAAACTCACTACCGCATTCACTACTGGTCTCACTGTCAAACTCACAATAGATCTCACTATAAATCTCACGATCGGCCTCACTACCGATCTCACGATCGATCTCTCACGATCGATATCACTACCGGTATTACAAAATATCGATAATCAATCTTACTATCGATATCACCCTCGATCTCACTATCGATATCACTGTCGATCTCACAATAGATCTCACTGTCCCTCTGATGATCGATCTCACTTTCGATTTCACGGTCGATATTATGATCGGTCTCCCTATCTCACTATTGGTCCCACTATCGACCTCACTATCGATCTCACTATCGATCTCACTATCGATCCCACTATTGATCTCACTATCGATCTCACTATCGATCCCACTATCGATCTCACTATCGGTCTCACGATCGAAATCACAATCGATCTCCCCACGGGGCACTGACGGGACACAAACGGGACACCGTCGGGACACCGTCGGAGCACCGACAGGACATCGACGGGACACCGACAGGATACCGACGGAACACCGACGGGACACCAACGGGACACCGACGGGACTCCGACGAAACACCGACGGGACAGAGACGGGACAGCGACGGGACAGCGACAGGACAGCGACGGGACAGCGACAGGACAGCGACGGGACACCACGGCGGGATATCGGCGGGACACTGGCAGGACACCGACTGGACACCACGGCGGGACAACCCGGCCACCGCCCGCCCACCGCGGGGGAGGGGCGGACAGCGGCGGGACACCACGGCGGGACAACCGGGCCACCGCCCGCCCACCGGGGAGAGAGGAGGGGCGGTCAACGGCTCTTGGCACGCCCTAGCCACAGCGGAGTCATTCCTCCCGCCCGCCCACGCAACTTCGCCTCGCCCGCACCACGACACGAACCCGAAACCGAAACCGATTTCCGGGTGGGGTGCTCTCCGGCACTTATATATCATCCCCACCCTCCGATACACATATATATACAATTGTATCTAATTATATATAATTATATATAATTGTATATAATTATATATAATTATATATAATTATATATAATTATGTACAATTATATAATTATAAATGATTATATATAATTATGTATAATTATATATAATTATATATAATTATATATATTTATATACAAGACTGCATTGGCGCTTCGCGCCATGCTCCTTGGTCCTTGAGGCTTTGCTTATGCTAGCCGTTCGCGCAGTCCATAGTGGCCTTGAAAATTTGGCCCCTTCCCTTCGGTGGTTTTGGGAAGTCTTTGAAAATTCGGGCGGTCCGTTGCCCTTCCCGGGCCTCCCGGAGCTCCCGAAAGGCGCTGGGTGGAGGGCGAAGGATGGGAGGGAGGGAATCTCGGGGAGCGAGGAGAGGGAAGCGGATGTGGGGGAGGACGAGTGGCGGAGCGGCAGAAGAGGAGGAGGAGGAGGAGGAGGAGGACCCAGAGGAGGAACAGGAGGAGAGAAAGAGATGGTGCCGTCGGGGGACGGCGAAGAAGTTCGGTTGCGCCGCACCGAGGAGGGCTGTCCATAAGCCAACGGCTACGGTCTCCTGTGTACGTGCACGCTTGCAGAAAAGTCTGACGGTGAATGACGACGAAAGGCCTTCGTAGGCCCGCACATTGGCCCGCTCGTGGTTCAGGTGCCCCAGTGCGCAATGCGAAAGAATGGCAAGCCACGCGAATGAATGCCAAGCAAACCGACGCAATGTCAAAGAACGCCGCAATGTACATAGCAATGCCAAGCCGGGGGTGTCATGTTGCAGCGGGTTGCAACGGGGCACGCGAAAGGAAAGAACTCTTAGGAAATGCACCGAATCCCGGGTACGCAACAAATTTCCGGGAAATGTGGTTGCGAACCCCGGATTCGGGTCAGTTTGCCCTCTCGAACCGTCCTGGGGCCATCGTGGGCCTCGTTGGGGAGCTTGGGCCCTCCAGGGACCATACGGGGGCTACGTGGGCCCTCCTGGTGGCCTCCCATGGACTTTTTGGGGGACTCCCATGGCCTTCTTGGGATTCTCTTGGGGGCGTTATCAACCACGTGTGTTCACGCTTGCCCCGCTCTGGGGCGTTAGGAACCCACGTATTTTCGCGCTTGTTCCGCTCTCAGGCCCTCGCTAGGGCAATATGTAGGAACACGCGTAAAGCGAAACGGGTTCGAACCCCAGGAGAGGAGCAACCTAGAGGACAAAACAAACGTCTCGTTCGAAACATCCTCCACATGTTGCAAAACAAGCGTTTCGTTCGAGACACACGCAACAATCGAAAATGTTCACTTGACCCTGTGTCTGATCGATCGGAATTTCAGATACCAGCGTTTCGCTCGGGACATCCTCAACAAATCATTCGCCAGCCTTTACGCGACCTCGTTAGTTATCGCGACATATATTCGTCGGCCCTACGCAAGATACAGTGGAACGCTACTGGAAATAGACCCGTGGTCCTATGCCCTCTGCGGAAACATGGGACTGTAGCAAGATCGCAGGATAGAGCCGCGCCGCCAAGCTGGCCCAGGGGGCACCCCGGAGGACCCAAGACGGCCTCAGCGAGCCCGCATCGACGGCCCAAGACGGCCCGAAGACAGCCGCGAGAGACCCCAGATGGCCAAGAGATCCCCGCGACCGTGGCCGATGCATCGGCGGTGCATCGGCGAAGGCGGGATGGAGAAGGGCGGGCTCCCAATCGTGCCGCATCGCCGATGCATCGGCGGTGCGGCGCGACTCTCCAATCCCATCTGCTCCGACCCCATCTGCGAGGCCCGCCGATGAGGCTCGGGGAAGAGAGACGAGCAGGATGCCTCAATCTCGTCGTCGGTCACGAAGCGGCCGGGCTCGCACTTCACGCAGGCGACGGGGTCGCTCGGGTCGCGGACCTGGCCAGACGGACAGTCCTTGAGCAAGACCAGGTACTCGACCACCGACAGCGGCACTCCGTCCTGCCGCGGCGCGAAGAAGGGTGGGGGTGAGGGTCAGGTGTGGGTGGGGGTGAGGGTCAGGTGTTCGGTAGTTTTGTCGCAGCCGCAAGCGAAGGCGCAGGCAGCGTCAAAGGTCGACCCGGGCTGCGGGCGGAGCCTAATTACCCCGCGAGCCCACTCACGGCTGAAACAGATGGTCGTTCCCGGAGCGGCAACAAACGAGAGGTGAAGAAACGTGCACCGCTTGTGCACCTTTTTGGGGCCCACGGCGGCAGTTTGGGGGCCTCTCAGCAGGGGCCATTGAGGGCCACTTCCCTGCAGCCCTCAATCCCCACTGAATGCATTGCCCTCCGCCCGAGAGGGGACAGATCGGGGCTCTACTGACCCGGGTCAGTGCAGACCCAGTGCAAACTGGCTGTCCGGGATCCTGCACGCCGGCCCAGGACTGTTGCAGCCCTGGCTCGGCAGGATCCTGCAGGAGCTGGCGCTCCGGCCAACCCCCGCTGGCGTTGACCCCCGTCCCTCGAGCCCCGGGGGCGGAGCTCCGACCTCTGGGATGCCCGAAGGTTCCCGCGCAAGGCTCTGCACCGCCTCCGCCCCGCTGGGGCCCCTGGCCGGCCCGCCGCGGCGCAGCTCGACCGATCGCTGGCCATCGCTCGGCCGTCCACTCCCTGTGTTTTTGTTCGGTTTCGTGCGTGGCTTTTTCGCCAAATGATCAAGGATGCTCCTCGACGGTCCTCGCCGAAGGAAAAATGCACACGTCCGAGCGATGCCAAGGAGCGACCGCTGGCCAGGAGCGTGTCCGGGAGGGGCCCAGAGGCTGGCCTGGAGCGGATTCTGGCCCGGGGGGGGCGTTTTGGAACGTCCTGGCAAGCACAGCGTGCAGGGGAAGAGGAGGAGGAGGGGGCAGACGCAACCCGGGCCCCAGCGCTCTCGGTCCGAAGAGGGAGAGCGCCCCCTCGCCCCTGCGCTCCCGCCAAAAAGGCGGAAAGGGTGAGGGCTCCACCAGGGACAGGGAGGGATCCGAGATGGCCGGCCCCGAAACGGCAGAAGTGGAGGGGGGGGGGCCCTCGAAGAGAGGCACCAGGCCTCTTGGGACCCAGGCCCGCGACGTCCTGCTTGTCCATGACGTCGACCCCTAGAAGTCTCAATCCATTCCCCGGGACCAGCTCTTCATTCTGGCTCGTTTCTTGACTGTCCCGGGGCCTGGCGAGGGCCCCCAGAGGCCGAAAGTAGGGAAAAGATCCTCCCATCATGATGTCCTGCACGACCCGAGGGGGTCTGGGGAACCCTTCCGCGCTCCGAGGAGCTCCCCCCTGGGAGCTCCTGCCGACGGGCCGATGCCTTCCAGACAGTCGGGATCCACCAAAGAGGGGGTGACCCTGAGGGGGCGCGTGAGTTCGATCCGCTGGTGCACCGAACTGCCGCAAACAGCTGCCCCCCCGCATGCCTCACCTATCGGCGACTATCGGGAGCTGCCGGCGGCTGGGGGGGCATCTGTCTTGGGCGGTTCGGTGCAAACACCGATCGAACTCACACACACACACACACACCGGCCCCCCTGTGCGGGATGCCGACAGAGGGCGCCCCCGCCTCACCCCCGTGGTGCGCGACACGCCGGGTCCGTGCTCACGATCCGCGTGCCCGCGTGCGCATCGTCTCCCAGCAGCGAGTCGTCACCGTTGGACATGGGCAGGCAGCATCCCAGGCGGAAGGTGACCGGCTGGTATGCCGTCCTCCTGTCGGCGGCGAGCGAGGGGGGGAAACGAGGAGGAGAAGGCCTTCTCAGAAGGCGGTGGGTTTCTCAGCAGCCCTCGCGCCTTCTGAAAAGTTGTCTGTGTTTTCGGGGAGGGTTGGGTGGGACCTCCGAGCCTTCTGAGAAGGCCCTCTCCTGTTCGCGTTCCCCCCTCGCGCGCCGCCGATCCTAGGAGGGTACAGGCCAGTCACGGAGCTGATCTGCTGGGACAGATCTCGGTCTGCCATGACGGGCTCGTCGATGGTGCACTCCACACGCGTGTTGTTGTGCAGGGTGACGTGGCACGGGACGGCATACTCGCCGACTGTGATGGCGACATCGCCGAGGAGCTGCGTGCCGTCCGGATGCAGACCAGCACCTTTGCACTCGGGTTCGCCGAAGTGACGGCCCTCGAACCAAAGGTTTCGAACGCCAACGTCCTCAATGAAGCTGGGGCCGAAGCTGTAGATTTCGGGCCTCGGCGATGCGAATTTCTCGGTAGCAGGAGTCGCCGATCGCAAGTCTCCAAGATACATCCTCAGGTCTGGCATACGAGGCAGCACAGACACGTTGATGCATCTCGCCAGCTCGCAAGTCAGGTTCGTTTCCCCGTTCCAGCTGATGGCCTTGCAAAAGGAGCCCATGTCCGTGCCGTCAAGCTCGATGCTCACGTAGTAGTCGCTCAAGATCGCCCCGTTCATCTCCAAGCTGCTCCTATCTGGCAGGTCGGACCCCAGCAGGAGCAGCTGCGGGGTCGAGCGATTGAGCACACAGCCCAGATCGATTGCGTTCGCTGGGACGCCCTGGAAGTCCTGGAAGAGGGGGCAGACAGCCAGGACAGGGATGACGAGAAGGATAAGGACGGGGGCGGAGCAGCACGAGCAAAGGGAAGGAGGGGGAGGAGGAGGAGGAGGAGGAGGAGGAGGAGGAGGAGGCGGAGCGCACCCAGAGGGAGTATTTTCTATCAAATCTCGGGAGATAATCGGCCCCCCGCAACGCGGGGAATCGGAGGAGGCGGAAGCCCCATATAATACATTCTGAGAACAAAAAGGAGAGCAAGAGGAGGTAGATGACGGACACGTTTGCGAAGAAAAAGCCGGCTCTGAGAAGTCGTTGAGATAACTGGTCCCAATCAGGTGTAGCGTTCATGCACCACCACCCTCCTCGCCGCTGAACCCTGTCATGGGCATTCTGGCCAATATCTCCTCCTCATCCTCAGATTCAGGGTCGAGGCGGTCGAACCTCGAGTAGTCGATCACGCCTGAGCCTGCAGACCGAGGAGGCGGACTTCGCGAGCCAGCCGAGCGCGTCCGCCTTTGGGCCGACCCGCTTGGTGGGATGAGCCTGCACTGCGTCGCGTCGTCCTCAAAGATGCGGCCCTCTGGATGCAGAAAAACACAATCGAGCCTATGACACCTGCGACCGTACTTGCACACACGCTCTGCCGCATACCCAGAAGACGGCCCTGGACTGGATGAAAACGGAGAGTGACCTCGTGAAGTCGATGCGCGACTGTGGACAACAGCCTGCCGCGGGCTCGCTTCCAGCGCCAGGACACGGGCTTCCAAAAGCGACACAGAACGAGACAGCTCATCGGCCAGTTCGTCAATCTTTCGAGAACAGAGCTCCATGCAAGAATACATACTCTTCTGTACCGAATCCGAAACAATGCTAGGAACAACTTGACACACGACCTTGGGGACCGAATCGATACACCAGATCTTAACATCATCAAAGACAGAATGGCGCAGGGTTTGAATATGGTCCTCTAGCACCCCAGTGCGGCTACGAATCGTTGGGTTCGTCTCCTCGTCCGCCGGACCAGAGCGATGGAAACCTGAACCACATGATGTATCTGGAGCCGCGGAAGTAGAAGACGAAGGAGAAGAAAGGGCATCGCTCGGCAGCACCTCCGACGCACCCTGGGGCTGCGCAATAGACGAGTGCCGCGCCTGATGCAGCTTGCACACACAGCGGAATAGAATACGACAGGAAACAGCCTGCCAGCTCGTCGGACCAGAACGTGGTGCCGCTGGGGTAGTAGACGAAGAAGAAGAAGAAGAAGGGGCATCATTCGCCTGCTCCTCCAGTAAGCCCTGGAGCTTCGCAGTAGACGAATGCTGCGCTTCAACCAGTTTGTGATACAAATCCAACTGATGATCGTACTGAGCTTGAGCGCCTGCCAACACCACACGAACAGAGAACACCACATCCGACGCAGGAGGCGTGTACGGTTGTTGTGTAGATCCCAAGGAATCCAGTTGGCGTGAAACGAACTCAGGCGCATCGTACCTCAGGCGAGAGGGCGAGGCAACATATTGATCATGACCTCCATCAGGCGCCTGGCGTGCACGATGTTGCCATCGCGGGGCACACACGCGACCACATGAGCCCAGAAAGCCAGCGCTCAACTCGGACTCCAGCAGCTCGAAGAAGTCGGCCTCCCACGGATCAGTGATATGTCGAAGAAATTGGTGAGCGATGCCAATATGTTGAAGGCGGCGGAGAACAGGGGTCGAGAGAATGCGCCGACAGCCGTGAACAGCACTGTGTAATCCCGAATGGTGCTTGCCCGAAAAGGTAGTGACAAGCCGCAACGCCTTTGTAGCAATGCACGCCTCTTTACCGTACGCCAAATCGATTCCATCGTCGAGAAGCATAACCACAACAGATTTGCTAACAGAGGAAATAATGCAGAAGTCAGAATGCAGAACAGACCCTGCCGAGGCTCGCTTGAGCTGCAAGTCAAAAGATGCCGTCGAGCGCCACAATGGCTACGGAGGAGGAGGAGGAGGAAGAAGAGGAGGAGGAGGAGGAGGAGAGCAGGAGCCGGAGGAAAAGGTGGAGTCCTCTATTGACGTGGACCCACTCGATAGCCCCAGCTCGTCGTAAAGGCCCGTGAATAATGGCTGTCTGTAGAACACCCGGTTCTCGACCATCGTATCATCGTTCGTCAACCACTGCCCGCTCCAATAGTCCTTCACCCGCAGCGTGACGATCACGTCCTGCAAGGGGGCCGCGAAAAGGTTGCACGTGCCCACGAGCCACCCGGTACTCGAGACCTTGAAAGCCAGGTTGTCGCAGAGATTATCGCTGTCGGGATTGCCTCGTGAAAGAAGCAGGGGCGGAGCAGGAGGCCGAGGACCGGCCGAAAGGAGGAAAAGGAGGGAGAGCGAGAATTGAGGAGAGCGAGGACGACGACGGGCACGAGGGCGAGGACGCGCACAGCGACGAGGACGACGACAGCAGCGGGAGCACGCGACTTTGGACCTGGCACCGCGCGAGAGGTCTGGCGGTGGAGGGGCCCCGCCGCCTTCCTGGCGCGGCCGCCCCCGTGGGAGTCCTCCCTCCCGCCTCTGCAGCACCTCTCCTCCTCCCACCTCCCCTCTTCCACCGCCCCCTCGCCTCAACATCCCCTGCCGACCCCCACTGCCCTCACTGTCTATCCTCCTCCTCCTCCTCCTCCTCCTCCTCCTCCTCCTCCTCCTCCTCCTCCTCCTCCTCCTCCTCCTCCATCCCTCTTCCCCCTTCCGAAGGCAGGGCTTGCGCTGAGGGGCTGTTCCTCACGTCCCCTTCCGAGGAACCGGGCCCGTGCGCGGGGCGGCCCCGATCCCGCCAGTCGCCGCACCATCTTCTCCAACAGAGGCCTGTCTGCGGGCCTGGCGGCCCCGCTCCCGCCGGTCGCCGCCGCCCGATTGCATCCCCCCGCCCCGGCGCATTGCAATCGCACTGCACTGCAATCACATTGCAATCGCACTGCACTGCACCGCACCGCACTGCACTGCACTGCACTGCACCGCACCGCATGGCACTGAGCCACAACATCACTGCATGGCAGTGCTTGACGTTGCGTTCCAGTGGCCATTGGAATCGCATTGCAGTGCATTGCGGCGCATTGCGGCGCATTGCCTTGCAATCACATTGCACTGCAATCGCATTGCATTGCATTGCATTGCATTGCATTGCATTGCATTGCATTGCATTGCATTGCATTGCATTGCATCGCACTGCACTGCATTGCATTGCATTGCATTGCGTTGCGTTGCCTGTTGCGCCTCGCGCTGCATTGCTTGTCGCTGCTTTGTTCCGTTGAGTTGCATTGCTTGGTGGCATTGCGCTGCATGGTTTTGCACTGCGTTGCATTGACATGCATTGTTGTGCATTGCATTGTATTGAGTTGAATTGCTTTGCTGTGGTTTACATTCGTTTGCATTGCTTTGCATCGCGTTGCATTGCTTTGCTTTGCACTGCTGTACTACATCGTGCTGCATTGCATCGCGTTGTTTCGCATTGCTGTGCGTTGAGTTGCACTGATTTGCTTTGCATTACCTTGCAACGCGTTGCATTATTTTGCATTGGTTTGCATTGCATTAACCTGCGTGTCTGCGCATTGCGCTGCCTCGTTTTGCATCGCCTTGCAGTGCTCTGAATTGCATTGCTCTGCATTGCTCTGCATTGCGCTGCCGTGCGCTGCATTGCTTTGCATTGCATTGCATTGACTTGCATTGCTTTACTTCGAAGTATGGAAACGTATCCAAGGACCTCCTATTGGGCGATGGACAATGTCAATGCTGGAAATATCGATGGTGATGATATTGTGGCACGGGCTGTGTTGTGTTCCGCTGCACTGTGCGGTGCCGTGCAATGACGTGCCAGGGCACGCGCCGAGCGACGTGCCACGGGACGCGCCGCGGGACATGCCAGGGGGACGCGCCGCGAAACGTCCCAAGGGACGCGCCAGGCGACGTGCCAGGGGACGTGCCATGGGGACGCACCGCGGGACGTGCCAAGGGGACGCGCTATGAACGCAGGGTCACCATCCGTCAGAAAACAATACAAAATGCACCTCGCGGCTAAATCTGGATCATACGCAGCCACCCCGCGATCACTGCCAAGTGGTTTTTGACAGGGACGGCGGGGGTGGTGGCGTATGGCCTGCTGTGCGCAAGCCCCCCAAACACCATGATGGGCATTGGTTTTCGACAAGGATGGTGGGAGCCAGCATGTTTCCCGATGTGTGCTGTCACGTGCGCGGGCGCACCTGGCACATTCTGCACGTGCCCCAAACGTGGCGCACTTGGCGCGGCTAGAGTATGCGGCACACCTGGTGCACGTGGAGCACGTGGCGCATCTGGCGCACCAGTCGTGCCTGGCACGCTTGGGCCCCCGGGGTGCTTGGCGCGCGTGGCGCACCTGGCACGCGTGGCGCACCTCGCCCCAGCGTCGCGCACATGGGGTCGGTGTTGGTTCCCGGTAGCTGCCCATCCAAAGACGACCGCTGAACATGCTGAGGTTCGGGTGTTATTTGTGTTGGGAGGGAGGTTGGAGGTGAGCTAGAGGGCTTGCTATCTAGGAGGGTGCCTTGACCCCTCCCCATACCCTCTCCTCTGGGCCTGTGAGGGGGGGGGCGGGAAGCTTGAGTTTCGAGGTGGGCCCAAGATGGCTCCAAGAGGGCCCTCGGCAGCACAAGACGGCCTCCAAGATGGCTCAAGATAGCCAAAAACGGTTCAATACTGCCTCCTACATGCACGTCGTTCATTTCTCATCGTGCTCATTTCTAATTGCGCTCGTTTCTAATTGTTCCTGGCCCCCCAGTGGCCAGGAAGAGGCCCAGGATAGAAGAATTAGAGATGAAGGATCATGGCCCGCAAAAAATCAAGGAACTTTCGAATACTTAGAAATGAACAATATGTACCTCCAAGAGGCCCCAAGACAGCCCAAGACAGTTCCAAGTGCCCCTCGAGCCTTCCGATACACCCTCCAAAAGGCCAAAACTATTCAAACACATACGGCAAAGCAATGTGTGCTTGCCTTCTCGATGTTTCGCTATCGATTGGGTGTTGAGCCCCAAGAGGGGCTCAAGAGCGCGGCCCCGAGAGCGCCCAAGAGACGCCCAAGGGCGGCTCCAGAGGGCCCCAAGGCGCAATGTTTGAGTGCGCGATGGAGGGTGACCTGGATTCCCCCCCCGCCTCCCCCCCCCTCCTCCTCTTCTCGAGCCATCAGCCCCAAGACCCACCCTATGAGCCCCAAGGGGGCACCAAGACACCCAACGCGAGACCCCAAGAGGGTCCCAAGAGTGCCCCAAGAGGCCCCACGGGGACCACAGGAGAGCCCCTAAGATGGCCTCAGGCCGTCCTCGAACTCTCACAGCAACGTGTATCCAAAGTTCGACTTCTCGTCCTCCTGGTCATCGTCCCCTCCTTTCCTGCACCGTTCCTGATGATGCTGATGATGATGATGACGATCATCATCATCATCATCATCATCATCATCATCATCATCATCATCATCATCATCATCATCATCATCATCATCATCATCATCATCATCATCATCATCATCATCATCATCATCATCATCATCATCATCATCATCATCA